TCAAAAAAATTAAATAAATAAAAAGTGATGTAATAATCAAGCAACAACAACCCCATGACTCATGTCCTGCATGGCAACCTGTGTTCACACAGCCTGTGTTCCCACACTGCAAATTTTAGCTGACCGGACCCAGTCAATATGGAAATAAATGACGCCGCCGAGTCCCAAACGCCACTCTTTTGACACTTACGCGCCTCCGTATTTCTTCCCATTTTCCTTTCATAAACCATTTTAGAAGTCAGTCTTCCAACCATGAGAGAGAAAATCCCAACTGCGTAGGCCTACTTTGGTTTCCGTGGACTTCTAAACACACCCTCCCATCTTCTGCAACCTCCGCCCCTCTCTTTCCTTTTCTGTGGATCGCCGATTTCTTTCCTCGGAGCTCTGGAGGTAAGTTGGACATCTGGGTTTCTTTGTTCTTCTTCAAAGTTCCGAACTTTGTTCATCGGATGATCATTAATAAAAAGATTTTACGGACTCTTTGATGGGTTTCATTTGTTCGACGAAATTCCTGACTTAGCCTTCTATTTTACTGCTATTCTATTTGTTGTCTTATGCTAAAAGGGGCAGAATTTGTGGATTTTTAAGATCGAATTTAGTCATTTTGTATTAGATTAGAATGTTGAAGCTATTGTCTCACTAGGAACTTGTCGCAGTAGTAATACTGGCATCATACTATCAACTCTGATTTGAATTAATAGTTGTTGGGGGAGACTAAGGTGGGCACATGTGAGTTGCATTTTGCATCCAATGGTACAATAGGGATATTATTGTAGTAGGGAGTCTGGGTCTGGGTATCAAAAAAGCAAGAAACGTTTGGAAAATGCATTGGAACTTTTGAACAAAAGAATGCATGAGTGAGATTGTATTCAATAATTGGAGATCATTTTGGTTGGGAATACATGGCTTCCTCTTACGTCTAAAATTTTTGTATTGTTGTCTCAATAAGGTTATAAGCTAACCATTCTTTCATCACAATATAAACATGGAAAAGGGCTGTGGTTTCAACATTAGTGACCAGTCTTTTGATATATAGGACCACTAGATCATTAACAAAGCATAAATGCATAATCAGTGTTGATCCACATAAGGAAATTCTAAAAAGCTAACTCATGGGCAGAGAGTCATAGGCAGTTACTTGAAACTTACATCCTCTGGTATTTATTGATATTTGATTCCTCAGATTTAAGGATATGAAATAAATAATGAAGTGTCTTTAAATGATTCAGCTTTGCAGGTTGGGAAGTGATCATAAGCAAGGAACTAATAGGAAGTAAAAGTGGAAAAGTTGCTTGCTAGTGCTGCTTACAGTTATGCCCTGCATTCCCTTCTTCTTTTGTAAGCGAAAAGGTCCAAGAACACTGCAATCTTTTGATGGTGGCGAGGGTAAGTTTGCAGAGGTCATTTTGACAATGATGCCCATTTTCTTTTATACCATCACGTGGATTAAATTTGGGATGTTTATTTATTTATTTATTTAATTCTATTCAATTAAGCTTTATCTACAACTACATAAGTTTTAAATATTATTTTCTTTCAGCTTGAGAGCTGTTCCAAATCATGTAGTATTCCAATTGCATGTCCATCTCATCCATCCTGCTCTGATCCTCCATAAATCCTCTTAAGTTTTACTACCTTGTGGTTAGAAAACCTAAGAATCCAAAATGATCACTAGTGAAAAGTTCATGACCAGTTTTGTAGGCCATTTAAGAACCATGTTCCATATATAAGTGAATGGTTTTATTCTACTTGTATTGCTCTCCTTCCCAGAATTCCATCTTTTGATTAACCCAGCCCAACTAACTGTACTATGTTAAAACTATTTCAATATAAAATCCTGTAATGGTTTTATTTTTGAACAGGACTTTCAATCACTCATGATGTTAAGCAATATACTTATAGAGAACTACAAACTGCAACTGAAGATTTTAGCCCACTCAATAAAATTGGAGAGGGAGGCTTTGGTTCTGTATATAAGGTAATGTATATTTTCTGTATAATTTCTTATTTTATCTTCTTTCCATGAATAAAACATCTTTAAATATTTTTATGAATGATCAGGGGCGACTTAGAGATGGGAAGGTTATTGCTATTAAAGTTCTTTCAGCTGAATCAAGACAGGGTGTGAGAGAATTCTTGACAGAGATTAAAGTCATATCACAAATAGAGCATGAAAATTTGGTCAAACTATATGGTTGTTGTGTAGAAGAAAACCAAAGAATTTTGGTATACAACTACCTTGAGAATAACAGCCTTGCCCAGACTCTTCTTGGTAAGTTGATAATTTTTGCTCTTGGTTTGGAAGTATGGCCTGTTGTTTGCCAGGGCAGTTGTTTATATCTAAAGGAAGGGTTCTACACTGGCAATATTTATTTCAGGAAAATTTTGTAGCTAGTTTATTTATTTATTAACTTTATGATCAATCCTTTCTGTTATTTAAAAAGTAAAACCTCAGTATAGAACTGGTAGTATTATATTCAGAAATATCTTAATCATTAGGATTACACAGTGCTTTGACAATATAATTTCTTTTTGTATCCAAATAGAAATTGTGTGCTATTGTCCCTTTTTTTTTTTGGCCAGAGATGTTGTGTGTTATTGAGCATCAAAGAAAAGAAACTGAGTCCTCATAAATATTTTCACTTGCAGGTGGAAATCAAAGTAATATCAGATTTAGTTGGCGAACAAGGCATAGAATGTGCATTGGGATTGCACGTGGGCTTGCCTTTCTTCATGAGGAAGTACAACCACACATTATTCACAGAGACATTAAAGCAAGCAATATTCTCCTTGACAGAGACCTAACTCCCAAAATATCAGATTTTGGTCTTGCAAAGCTTATACCACCCAACATGACTCATGTCAGCACTCGTGTGGCGGGCACAATGTAAGTTCCTGTAGTCTACCTTATCTTTAATTCTGAATCAGGAATAAACATCGTCATACAGTGTTATTTGTTACTTTGTTTCATAGAGAATCAATATGTATTTAAGGCAATGCTGGCTCAAGCATTAAAAATGTGGTTAGAGTCAATTAGAGTATTTCAACCCTGCATTGAATGGATAATACTCTCCATGATGCAATTTTTTCCATCTATTTTGAACATTCACTTAATGCATTCACATTCATAATAAATCTTTTAAGGTTCAAAACTACCTAAAATGAAATTTGTGAAAGTTTAATGTACGATGGATTGCCTTACTAAGATGGACAAAAATCTAGGACATCCCAAAAGTTGAGAGGTAAAGTTGGAACAGCTGGAGAAAAGGGTATTCATCTCATTTTGATGATCTTTTAGGTGAATTAATATGACCTCTGCTACAAAAAATGTTTTATTTCATTATGTTGATGGAATCTTTCTTTGGTTTATGCTGTATTTCTGAAATGACTTCTACAAATTCCAAATGAAATCAGTTCCTTTTAAGTATGCTTCATTTCACATATGCTGTTCATGTAAATAGAACAGAGCTATAAGCACATGTTGCTGCAAGCTTCTATTAAAGCTTTTGATTTAGGCTTATATCTTATTTATAGGATTAGATTTTGATGCATATTTGTTTGTCAAGATAATCAAAATAGTCTCTCTTTTTGGGCCACTGTTTCTTTTGAAAAACATCACCTCTTATGTTTATGAGTTCATTTATGATTTTAGAGGTTATCTAGCACCAGAGTATGCAATAAGGGGAAAGTTGACACGAAAAGCAGATATTTATAGTTTTGGAGTCCTCCTTGTAGAAATAGTCACCGGTAGATGCAACACAAATGCACGACTACCTATTGAAGAGCAATATCTATTGGAACGGGTTAGTCTTTGGCCTTTATATCTACAATAAATTATTTTTTTTATCAGCATATTTACAGTTACAAAATATTACATGATTTGATGACTGTAGTTGTTTCAATAATTGCCCTTGGCCAGTGACTAGTTAATTATGGTATTCTTTTGTCCCAAAGACTCTTGTTATTTGCACAAGGCTCTATCTTTTTTAAAAATAAACTACTTTTATTAGCACCTAAATGCAAAGTTTGATTGGAAACTTTAAACCTTGGAAGTGAAAGAAGTAACTTCAGTTTTTAGGCATTCTGACTTCTTTTAGGAAAATCTTTATATCTCTCTCTGAATCTGACACACAAATCTCATCTTTCAGACTTGGCAACTCTATGAGCGAAGGGAGCTGGTTGTGCTGGTAGACCCATCACTGGGTGGTGATTTTGATGCGGAAGAGGCTTGTAGGTTTCTCAAGATTGGTCTTCTTTGTACCCAAGATACTCCCAAACTACGACCATCCATGTCAACTGTGGTCAAGATGCTAATGGGTGAGAACCAGATCGATGAGAACAAGATAACAAAGCCAGCCTTAATTACTGATTTCATGGACCTCAAAGTCAGAAGTTCCCAGAGTCTCAAGCCTCGAGCAAAGAAGTCTTCTTCCTATAACGCATCATCTAGCTCAGACAACGTGGACTCAACCTTGTCATCAGGAATCTCAACTGCTGCAACAACAACCTTCACTGCACAGTATGACCAGAGCATTTGAAAAACAAAAGAAATCAAAAAGAGCAAGTTTTCAATTAATTCATTTTATTCTATTTTTGAGTTTCAAAAAAGTGTAGTCCATGTGCAGTCCACCATCCGCAGAGTGCTATATATCATTCTCTCTGAGTTTTTTGTGTCTTGTTTTCTCGTGTACATTGTGCAAGCCTGCATTTTTTTTTTTTTTTGCTGCGTTATATAGAACGTAGCCAGAGTGAATCTCTTGTAAATGCCTAAGGCTAAATTCAAGCATTTTGGTGTGGATCAATTGTTCCCTTCCCTTCCTGCCCCAAACAATGCAATCCTCTTTAATGGGATGTGTAACACCTATTGCCTAGAAGTCTTGTTTGAATAGAGTTTCTGTAAAACTCTTGTAAGATGCAGAACAATAGCATGAAAATTAGTGCAAGTTAATAAATTTCATTAGATTCAAAAGTTCAGTCCGCTTGTTTTGCAGTTATGTATTGAATTATAAAATAAGAATATTTAAATGGTAGAGGGTCACTAATATTGAGAGATCTACTCACTTTAAAGAGTTATTTTCTAGAAGGTTAACCCTATATTAGTAAAAAAGAGTAGGTTCAAAGAGGTTAAAAGGGAAAAAAAGTTATGAGTATATGCATATCAAATCATTATGATTGTGTTTTTCTATGTGTGCAGGCTGTCTCTATAATAAAAGTTATCATTTTTATTTTTCTAAAAGTTATGAGGAAATATTTTGAACTTTTAATCTTTGAAGCTAAAATAAGTCTTTAAAAAAAATTTAAAAATACTTTTATAATAAAATTTCATCCGTCCTAAAATTAATTTCTATTAGATTTGGTAAAAAAAACATTCAATTCATTAACCCAACCCTAACTTGACTTGTAAAAATGGGTTAAGGTTTATATATCTCAACCTGCAACTCGTAAATAACTTGTATTATTTATCCGTAAGGGTTACGTGTTGGGTTAGGATTAACCCGTGAGTTGACGGGTTGATCCGTTTATTTTATTTTTTATTATTATTTTTAAATATTATACTTATTATTCTTCAATAATTTTCTTATTGTTAACTCCTTCCATTAATTCATACTCCTTAATTTCTAGAGAAAGACGAAGAAATTATGATGAGTTTGATCTAATTATCCAAGTATTATTATTTTTTTTTTGTATTAACACTTACCCAAGTATCATGAATGAAATGATAATACAACTAAAAATATTAAAAGACGTGATACTAAGATATAAACATAATAATTTAGTGAAATATGTTCTTGAAAGAGCAATTTCATCATTAAAAAAATGGCTTAAACTACTTGATAATGTTTCAAGATGATTATAAAATTAAAACTTTATTTTTCAAGAAATTTAAATATTTTACG